GACGTGGAAACCGGCGTTTGTGTCCGTTTGATCTGCACCCACTCACACTCCACTGTCGACTGTGGGTAACTTGCGCCACTTGCACTCCACTTCGTCCTTGCCCCTCGTGTCTTGACACCATAACTTGCGCTGCACTTGCGCCCCCCACTAAGTGCGAACGGGACAAGTGCATTTCACGTTAGCTATATGGTCATGCTGTCGCACGGCCAACCTCATAGGGCGCATGCCTCCTCAAGTTCTACTTTTTGCTCCTTTGCAACCGCCCCCGGCCCCCCCCTCAAGGATTGACCCTGTCTTGTTCTTTGGGAGGGTTATGGGCAGGATACTGACACGCAAAGGCTTTGCAGTCAAGGCTCGAGTTCGGCCTCGCGCCATGGAGGGCTCGGCACGCCCCAAACCAGGCGGAACGTTTGCCTGACAAGGGCTGATTGCTTGACTTTAAAGGACCTGCCGAAGCAACAATCATGCTGCTTCGAAAGACCATCCTTCAAATCTTGTCCAGCGAAAGTTGTTGTCGGACCAACTTGTCAAGAAGCCTTCAGCATTCCACAACTATGCTTGCAGCGCTCCTTCCATGTCAAACGCGGAGCTTCAGCGACAGCCTGGACGGGCAAGAGCACCCGAGAGCCCCAAAAGCCTGCTGCACCCAAGAAAAGGTAAATGCTAATGTCTGAGAAGCCTTCAATCAGAATCCTTTCCAAGCTGTGATTCCCGACACCCCCACAACTTCCCATGAAGACACCATAACGTCCTAACTGAAACCACTCATGAGAAAACCAATGCAAGCTGATCCTGCATCTAACTTGGCAGCTTACTCTCGCAACATGTAGTGCTTGCCAAAACCTTAGGCCTGCTCTGGTAGGGAAATCCGGAAATCACCTAGGCACGGTCACCTGGTCCTCAGGGACGCTGCCGAGGAAATCGGAAAAGTTGAGATCCTGTGGCAGAGAATCAGAAATCTAGCTCATGTGCTACACTGCTACACCCCTGCACAGCCAAAGTACTGCTCCACCGACCTGATTAGAGAGACTTGTGGGTTGACTGCTGGAGGTTGCCAATACGGCGACAATCCGTTGCCCCCCCCCCCATTTGCATGGGCACTCTAGCACCAACAGCAGCCTACGTCACAAATCACAAGCCCTTACTTTCTGCACATTAAAAATTGCAATTCCAGCAAGTAATCCCTGAATGAATCCTGTACCGTAGACAATCAAGCCACTACATGTTGAAACATCATGTCCAAGATTTTCAAGTTCCTCGACGCCGCCAAGACCACACCCCCCACACCGAACCCAAGACCACAAAGTCCACACCTTCTGGCTTTATACTGTTGCTGCTCTCTGACGCTTGCATCTCTGACGAGACTTGGTGTCCACACCTTCAATTCTACCTCGACCCTCCGCCCCAAACTGGAAACCACCAACGGTAATTCTCTATTCCCCCACCCTCATCCCTTAACCTCAAAAGCTATGAAACCCTTAAAGCTCCCCTCGTGCTATTCAGCCGTCTCCTGCCTTCTTGACCTTTTCCATTGCCATGGCCTGCAGAGGGTTGCTGCTTAGGCTTGCCAAGGATAGATGTTATAAGTGCTTTGGGCTTTCAGTGGACTCAAAGACCATACCAAAGAAGGTTGAAGGCCGAGGGCTTCGGGCCCCTTTATGCAGGTTGCAGCGTTAGGGGCTTCAGGCTTAATGATGGTATGGGGCATGAAATCCACGGGTGATTCAGGTTCAACGGCCTCCCAAAGCCCTTGGCTTGGGTTTAAACAGAGCCCAAGAAAAATCCCTCCCCAGCCGTAAAGCCAGAACGCCCAACGCATTCTTGGACACCCTCAACAGAAATTCCGAAACGCGCTAGCCCCGAGCACTGTGCCCCCAAAATCCTGTACCCTGAGGCCTACACCGCCAAAATTGCCTGTACCCCAAGACGTATGAACCCTAAATCTAAGCCCTATACACCCTAAATCCAAACCCTCAACCTACAACCCTCCGCCTTATAAAGCCTAAAACCATCCGCCATGCAGCCGCAGCCCTTTGATCCACGGAGGCCTTGGGCGTCTTCTCGGGCAGCTTTGCCAACTCCTCCTCCAGGTTGGCTCCGGCTGCCTGCTTTGAGTGGTTTTAGGTTGGGGTTGAGGGTTTACCTGGACCGCCGTTGGTACCAACAATAAACAGCTATAGTGGAAATGTGCGGCACTTTCCAGCAACGCTGGAAATTTGCGGCACTGTACACAGGTTGCTGTTTTTGAGCGCATAATGAGCTGCAAGAAAGGAGTAAAGTGCCGTGAAAAAGTGTAAAGTGCCGTAAACTGATGTGTTGTTTTTGCCAGTGCCGTTCATTTGTAGAAAAAGCGTTACTTTCCAGCAGTGCCAAAGATGAACGTAAACTAGGGCTTGGGGTTTAGGGATCAAGGCTTCGGGTTCGGGATTTTCAGGGCGTGAGATGTTGGCCGCATTTCGTTTGGGATTTGAGTTTCTGGGGTTTAGAATCTAGAGTTTAAGGTTCGGGCTTAGGGCTTCGTGATGAGGGAGCTGTAGTGTCTTGAAGACTTAAAAGAGCTTAGTTCGCAGATCTTCTCAGTGTAGGGTAAGTCTCAGGGTAGGTGTGTTGCAAGGCTCTTGGCATCAGTCCCTCAACAGTGGGCTCGTTCTTGCTTTTGCCCTTAGACGAAGGCACTAAGGGTCCGACTACCTGACTCCGTACACCCCGAAACCTAAAAGCCACATGACGCATCATAGATGTTCCAAAAAACACCAAGAACAAGTATACTAAGTATGACGACAGACATCAACCCCCCCATGCATCCTGAGGATCCGATCTAAACTTGCTCTGTGGGGCTCCAGACCCCAAGGCCTTGGAAGTCACTGCAGCCCTAGAGTAGAGGCATCCCTCAATCCTAAATCCCATGATTACAGGCTTACTTTCGGCAGTCCCTATAAGCCCTAAATCCTCTAACTAAACAGGCAAAACAAGGGTTCACTAGCCATTAGAAGGCAGCTCCATGGGCGTTCGTCGAAACTTCTATAATCGGAGGGTGGGGAGGCTCCTCTCGTTTTACAGGTTTTGGTGCAATCTGGACTTTGGGGTATCGCTTTCAACCTTTGGCATCGAACTTGAACACCGGATTTTGGGAGGCGGTATCGCTACAGGATTCCTTGATATTCCTTGGTATGATCTCGGGATGTTACGGCGTTTCTTTATGCCACCCCTGGCTAGCACAGAAATATTGGTGATTGCTCACATACTTTCTGGGGGTCCAGGAATAGCCCACTACCTCATAAGATCCCTACAACCCTAAAGCCTATAGCCTCTATCTCTCTCTCTCTCTCTCTCTCGCTCTCTCTCTCTCTCTCTCTATATATATATATATATATATCTCTCTCTCTCCCTCTCTCCCTCTCTCCCCTCTCTCCCCTCTCCCACTCTCCCTCTCTCCCTCTCTCCCTCTCTCCCTCTCTCCCTCTCTCCCTCTCTCCCTCTCTCCCTCTCTCCCTCTCTCCCTCTCTCCCTCTCTCCCTCTCTTCTCCCTCTCTTCTCCCTCTCTTCTCCCTCTCTTCTCCCTCTCTTCTCCCTCTCTTCTCCCTCTCTTCTCCCTCTCTTCTCCCTCTCTTCTCCCTCTCTCCTCCCCGGGCGTAGGGGTTGGGCCAGCGTTCAGGGCCCTCCCCTGTGCGAGTCCGCACACCCGCGTTTCACGGGCTGTTTGTTCCCCCACCGGTTTCACGGGAAGGGGCTGGCTGTACCAAGGAAAAGAGGAGGCGGTACCTTTCTTTTTCTTGTTCATTTCTCTCTCTCTCCTCTCTCTCTCTCTCTCTCTCTCTCTCTCTCTCTCTCTCTCGCTATAGATATGTATATGTATATATGTATATATATATATATATACATATATATATATAGATAGATAGACAGATGGATAGATAGATAGATAGATCGACAGATGAATAGATAGATAGATAGATAGATAGAGCACCCTTAACGCGCGGCTGCATCACAGAAGACCGCCGCATGCGCGGGAAGTTTCACACTCCAAATCCTCCGCCGCCGTTCCTCATTATCCGTTGCTGAAGAGGGCGCCTTCTTCTCAGCCTCGGTGGAAGCCATGGCGATGGATACCTGAAACACCACTGGCTGAATGCCACGTGCTGCTGCAAGGTTCCAGGAGTTTAAAGTGTAGGGTCTAGCAAACGTGAGGATTTGGGGAGTCCGCAAATGGGGGGTTTAGGATTTACTGTGTAGGAGGGCTTAGGGATTGGGGTCAAGGTTCCAGCTGCATCCTTGTGACACTTCTAAATGGTCCGCATGTTCAGCGTCGTCTTAGTCAAGGCCTGCAGTACGAATGATTTCTGAGTTCAGATGCAACCCGGATTAAGTTATGGTCTCTTTCGTCGGCATTACAGAAGACAACAGCAATCGTCTAGACAGACCTATACGGCTGGGCGAGTTGCAAGTCGCGCGCCACAACCACCAGTGCTTTGAACTCAACCACGGCTTTGGAGTTTTCATGATTCACGGATATTGCTATGGGGCTCACTGCTTAGGCCAACAGTTCGCCTGAGGGCCACACAGCTCCTAGGGTCCATTTGCAGATGCGTTCTCGTTTCGTTACCCGAATCAATGCACACAGGGAAACCTGAAACTTTCTGAAACCCTACGCCCTACATCCTAAACCCCGAGAAAACAGCCTCACATTTCAGAGCGCAAGACACGTTTGCGGCACTCGCCTGCAGCTTGCAACGCGATACTCCGGGCGCGTGTTGCTTCGAGCCAAGTGAGGATGGGCGGATGGGAGCTCGAGAATGCTGGGGAAGCGTTAGCGTGACGGTGACAGGCATGCATTTAGAAGCGTGCATAGGTTGGTAGTGACACGCATGTAAGGCATCCATGCCACCAAAGAATATAGTAACAAAACACTACATGTGTGCCGGCACGCTTGCACTTTCAATTACAGTCCGTCAGTTTATTACTCCTGTCTGCGTGCAGCTCTACATGCAAACATGTATACATGCATACGTACATGCGTACATACGTACATGCGTACGTACATACATACGCACATACCTGCCTACCTACCTACCTACCTACATACATACATGCATATCTACCTACCTACATACATACATGAATACATACATATACATATATACATATATACATATATACATATACATATACATATACATATACATATACATCTACATATACATATACATATACATATACATATACATATACATGTACATATACATGTACATATACAAATACATACGTACATACATACGCCAATACATATACATAATACATACATACATACATACATACATACATACATAAATACATACATACATACATACATGCATACATGCATACATACATACATGCATCCATCCATCCATCCATCCATGCATTACATTACATTACATTACGTTACATCACATTACATCACATTACATTACATTACATACATACATACATACATACGTACATACGTACATACATACATACATACAACCCCCCCCCCCCCCCCCCCGGGTGATCTACCATTTTGGGGTTGTTTTGGTGAGCGAGCAAGGGAGTGAATGACTGAGTGAGTGGGGGAGTGAGTGAACGAGCGAGCGAGGGAGGGAGGGACGGAGTGAGTGAGTGAGTGAGTGAGTGAGTGAGTGCGTTAGTGAGGGGAGGGAGGGAGCGAGGGGAGGGAGGGAGGGAGTCATGCATTAGGGGGAAGCGATTAAATCAGTTGCCCCCCACACAAGAACAACTCCCCATCAACATTCCTTTCCTAGTGCATGGTGCATACACATCACGTTGGGCAGTATTTGCAAATTCGATATGCAAGCCTGCTAGATCATGCATGGCGTTTCGAACCTATGAAATCACGGCCCAAATATTACAAGAACAGGAAGCAAATGTGGCTAACTCTACCTCAAGCGCAGGGTGCCTGCATGAGTCTGAAACCGGGGATGGGGCATGGCGCACAGCGCATCTGTCGCATTGGCTGCCTGCTTCACATGCATGACGTTGCCATCAGGGTTTCCTGGAGATGAACTACTTTGACAGAGCCTTTGGAAGGATTAGAGAGTCGCCAATGCATGAGTCGTGCTACAATGTATATATCCTTTAACTGTGTCAACTGTTGGCTCCTACTCAACCCCCACCTCGCCTGGCCTTTGCTGGTGTGCAGCGGTCAAGACTCGGCTACATCATATGTCATGAACTGCAGCGTGCTCTGGGTGGTCGGACCGAATCAATGTAAGCCAGATTTTGCTGTTCTGCATCCACTGCGTCGCCCTCTTCCTGCGGTCACGGCCAACATGCTTCATCTTTGTCTGCACTCAGAACACGGACAGCAAGGAACTCCAGAATATCTTCTCGTGTCTCGTCCGTGGATCGCTTGGCGGGACACTTGGTGGGACAACTGGTGGGGAAAAACCAGCACTGCGAATCGCATCGACAAGCGATTGCTGACTTGACTCTGCCAGATGTCGCAAGATGTCGAAGCCTTCGGCATAAGTCTCCTGGTTGAAACTTGTGCACTTGACAGCTTGGGTGCGTGCGAGGCAAGCATTCTAACGTAGGCTTGTTAGTAGCAATGACATCAAAACTGTTGCCAAGCTGATCCCGAGGTCACAAGGAGCATCATCAACTCGCCGAAGCTCTTTGAGGACGTTGAGCATAAATGTCTGGCACTTGAGATTTGAAACCAGAGGAAGGAATTGTGCCAACAGCAGAAACCATTGTTGCCTTTCGGCCGGACTCAGTGAGTGGGCCTTGAAGAAAGCATACGCCATGGCAGGCTTTGCAAACCGCCAGTTTCCCTCAGGGGATGGCAGGCACGAGATCGCCAGCTCAAACATGAACGAGTCAATTCGCTGCCTGACGTGCTGATGTCCAGTTTTGCCGCTGCAGAACTTCAGGAAAGAATGGCCGGCTCGGCGTATGGTCAAGTCCCTGTCTGTGCAACATGCCATACAATCCGACACCAGTCTTTGGACCATGTCATCGGAAGTTTTGAAGTGCTGCTCGCATACTTGCACCAGCAGCCACAAACGACCTCAACATGCTGGGTGCAGTGCCACGCAACGGTGCTCCTGCCCGCACTTTTCCAAGCTTGAAACCATAGCAGGATAACGCAGCATCTCAAGCACAAACCAGCCAAGTTTCATAGTTGCTGTTTTTGCTTCACGATATCGTCGCCGAAATCTCTGGTCATCACACGCTTTCTCATGTCCTGCTCGGACTCGCCACGGACAGAGGAGAGTGCCATGTTCTCGAGCAGGTCGAAACAAGACGCGACCGCGTGAGGCACCCCGAAGCCAGCCATGTCTTCCACGTGTTTCGCCAGAGCCTGCGCCGCACAAAGGTAGCAAATGAGCCAGCTACTCTGTCTACTCTCGCAAAAATTGGGAAACTCGTCTCGCCATGCTTCTGGTATCTTCTGGTAAATGATTACCTGACATGTTCGATTGGTACTTGTAATTCATGCTGCTGCATGCAAGCCGTCAGCCAGCCCCTCCGTGGGGCCAACTATGCTTTAAATCGAATCTCAAACGTGTGGGAAGCGTTGTCAAGGCCACAGCGGTACACAAAGGGAAGGAAGCCTTAGGATGTCCAAAGGCCTCAACAACACCCATTAAAGAACCCTCCCGGAACAAACCATGCACCTCTGAATCCACTGCTCTTCTGGAGGCCACGCGCAAGTTCAGTATCTCCTGCACCTAAGTCAGGAACTGTATAAGATTGAGGAATCGTAGAATTCGCAATACGAGTTTGCAAGTTACTCTGGTCCATCATGATGACTGATACTGTGTAACAGACATGTTGGGGGGGGGTTGTGGTGCCATCCTTGGGTGCACAGCAGGCACAGCACTTTGCCTTTGCACGGTCTATATTGGGATTCGTGGTATTGCTTCATCTTGGACTTGGTTCCTGATGCACGTCTTACACAATAAGAACTGTCTACTGCCACGAACGGATCTAAGAATTGCAAGGCCGAGGCTCGTGAAGAAAGTCAAACACATCTGGCTGCCTCACTTCTGCTATTGCCGTAGCTCCCCGAAGCACGGAACTGGGACTTGGGAAGCGTTCTTTCGATTGTTCCTCTTGCGGTGTAACTGCATGACGCAGCAATTAATGAAGCCCAGGAGCAGAACGAGACTTGGAGCCTCCGCCAGCATTTTCACTTCCTCGATGGCAAGGGGTGGTCCACTGATGCACTGAAGGATGATCTTGCTTAGGAATGCTCCGTGCTCCGTGATTGCGGAGGAAAGCAGGCTTCCCAATAGCTTGATCAATGACAAGTCATGAACAACCTGTGCCGGCTACTCCCTGTGACCTCCAGGCAGCAAGAATTGCATTGAAACACAAAGCAGCAAAGCCGCAGGCCCTACAGGCGTAGCTTCAAAGCTGGAGAAGCAGACACGCATAAAACGAAAGCCTTGTGATGAGGCACCGCGCTTACGCTGCATGTCCATGGCAACCAGCTTGCCAGGGACTCGAACAGATAGTAATAAGGGCACAAATGTCGTGTCTTAACTGGGTCTTTTAGATCTGCCTTTTCGGACTGGGTATACTCCGTTTAAAGCTTCGGCCTGGCTGTTACTCCTCCTTTCTGTCATTCTGGTTTCGGTCTGGGTTTAGGCCCTTTTGGGGCTTCGCCCTGGGCTTACTCGTTGGTTTGGGCCTTCTTTCATTAGGGTTTTGGTGTGGTCTTACTCTTTTTAAGGTTTCGGCCACGGTTTGATAGTTTTTGGTGTTTAACCTTTCTTTCACACGTATCTTTTGCTTCTGGAAGTGTATCGGATTGGGTTTACTCTTCTTTCGTTTTGGGTCTTGTTTCATTAGGGTTTCGGTCTGGGCACAGTCTTTTGGGTTTCGGCCTTTCAAGCTTGCCTTTCGCTTCTTTCAGGGTATCGGGGTCGGTTTACTCCACTGTCGCTTTGGGCCTTCTTTCATTACGGTTTCGGTCTGGGTTTACTCCTTTGGGTTTACTCCTTTTCGGTTTTCGGCTTCTCTTTACTCCTTTTCGGTATCGGGCCTTCTCATCTTAGGGTTTCGGTCTGGGCTTACTCCGTTTAAAGCCTCGGCCTGGCTTTACTCCTGTGTTTCTTTCGTTGGGGCTTCGGTCGGGGCTTACCCTTTTTGGGGCTTCGCCTGGGTTTGATCGTTTTTGTTGCTTCGGATTGCTTTCAAGCTTACCTTCGCTTCTTTCAGGGGATTGGATTGTGTTTAGCGAAACGAAGGAGCTGAAGACCAAATAACCCAACAGAGGCAAAGAAAAGAACAAACGACCAGAGCAGCTAAAGTGTCCAAGACAGAAACATACGACATACGAGAAACAGCAACGACGGAAAGAGCAGAAGGGAAGAAGGGAAGAATGGCACAAAGAAAGAAGAAGCAGACAATGTGGAACAAAACAAATGTATATATGTATATATGTATATAAACATGTATATATGTATATTTGTATATATGTACATCTGTACATATGTGTATATGTATATATGTATGTATGTGTGAATGTGTATATGTGTATATGTGTATATGTATATATGTGTATATGTGTATATGTGTATATGTGTATATATGTATATATGTATATATGTATATATGTATATATATATATATATATATTAGTTGTGCCAGCATCCTTTCAGATTTCAGTGAGAGCTTCGTGCTGCCCCTATCCAAGCCGGCATGCGTATGCATGTATGTATGTATGTATGTATAAGCATATGCATATTTGGCTCCCGCTTGGCACGTCTCGCGACCCGCATTGCAGGCATATGCATATGCATAGGTATAGTTTTAGATATAGGCAGGCTGTTGCTTCCGGACAATAAAAAAAGACACAAGCGACCCCCCCCCCAAAAAAAAAAAGTGACCCCAACAAACAAGACACAAGTGACCCCCCTTCCTCATCTAGGCTCAGGGCTTGGGGTGCGCTTCTGGTTACTCCGTGTCCGGAGACAGCTCGCATGCTTACAGTGCAACATCTGCTCACAAAACGATTGAACTTGGTTTCCACGTCTCGGAACCCGGCAGACAAAGCTGCTGATTGCTCTGCGCCAGCTGGCAGCGGACGGCATTCAGCCTCGGACCACTGCTGCAACAGCAACTTTTACGCGAAGCATGTCAAAACTTCAGCCAACTCCGAACAGAAGTTGCGACAGTGAAAGTCCACACGAGTGCTGAAGCAGGGCTTTCTAGGATTTGGGCGATTAGCACCCTGCGGAAGGATTCAACACAAAGGCATCTAGGAGCCAAAATCCGTCTTGCTACAAGCGGTTCGCGTTGTGCCGCAAGCAGCAATGAAATAACTATCCGGCGTTATCCGCAAACAGACATCGTTGAGCATGTTGAGCCCTCGCCCGCTTCCCTCACTTGCTCGCTCGCATGCTCGCTCGCGGATCTTCAGGCCCTGGCTGCTGCTGCAGACCGACGTTCAGGTTCTGTTGCCTGATCTAGCGACGTCAAGAGGTTTCATTTAGGCTCAGGGCTTGGGGTGCGCTTCAGCTTACTCCGTGTCCGAACGCAGCTCGCATGCTTACAATGCAACAGTTGCTCAAGCAACGATTGAATCTGGCTTTCTACGTTTCGGCTCCCGGCAGACAAAGCTGCTGATTGCTCTGCGCCAGCTGGCAGTTGACGGCTTTCAGCCTTGGACCACTGCTGCAATGGCAACGTTTAGGGGAAGCATGTCAAAGCTTCAGCCAATTCCGAACAGAAGTTGCGACAATGAACGTCCATACGAGTACTGAAGCAAGGCAGACTGAAACCTTTCTAGGACTTTGGCGACTAGCACCCTACAGAAGGCTTCCACACGATAGCCTCTAGAAGCCAACATCCGTCTTGCTACCAGCGGCTGGTTCCAGAGCAGGGCGACTTGGACATCCTGCTGCAGGTACCGCACGGCGCCCTGGCAGGACTAGGAATTGGTGCGATTGCTCAAGATCCGCACTGATCCAAGTTCTAAGTCCCAGATTCGGGATGTACTCGAACAAACGGCTGAGAGCTGCAGTAGCGCAGTAGCGCATGCACCGATGAAACGCCACGCCTCGCCGGACCCTTCTTGGAAACCCACCATGGCTCGCGAACACGAGCAGACTTCTCAATGTCTTGTGCCTGCCTTCTAGAACCCACTGCTGCGATCTACCGCGGTTGAAAGAACTGCAGCTGAAGAAGCAACTTTCAGCCCGATGACCTGCAAATCCGATCGCTCAGAAGATGCGCAAGGCTGAGCCAGATGCAGTTGCAAAGCTGTCAATCAACCAGCCGATGCTGTGACTGTGACCTTCGCGCACCCGAGCTTTGCGAGTTCCACTTTTTCGGCCTGCACTGTGACAGCGCCGGAGTGAAGCCTCGTAAGCACTTCAGATTGCGCAGGCTAGCGGAGATTGCGCACGAGCGCCTGCTTTGCACCATGCATGAGGCCTCAAAGGCTTGGTCAACCTCCTCAACGGTCGGGCCGCCGGGCCGCGCTGGCAACGCCGGGCCTATGCCGCACCAGGGATGCCACCATCGGGCATGCTACCACCGTCCTATTGGAAGGGCGTCAACATGATGAGGTCCATGATGCCCTCCAGCTCAATCAGCTTCGCCTCGAACTCGTCCTTCTCAGCAAGCTGGTTCCTTTCCAGCCATTCCAGGGTCTCCTGGAGTGCGCTGTGAATCTTCTGTCTGTCGTAATCCTTGAGGCGGTTCGCGAGCATCTCATGCATTCTGAACCAGCCGAGCTGTAGAGCGTGCTTCGCCGTGGTCGCCGTGGGCTTGCACTTCTCCTTGCTTGTCTGTGGTGCTTTACGTCACAACTTCACAAGTCCACTTGTCCCGGAAACAAGTGAGTCTCCTAGCTGCGAAACGCTCCGAAGAGAAGCTCAGGATCCCGTGGCTCCAAACCACATTTTTTGAGCCTAGACTAGACGACTGTCTGCTCTCCAAACACTTGCTTCCTGCATCTCCAGGTTCTTGTCACAAGGCTCTCGAAAAAAGCCAAACCCCGCAAGCGTTCTACAGTGAACCCAAAACACCATCACGCCTAGACGGCTTTCCGCCCCCCTAGACCCTGGACTCGATGCGGTTGTTTTGGCTTCGGGGCTTGTCGGGATCGAGGACTTGGATTTAGGCCAGCGGCATGCTTCAACTCATGCACTGTGGCCTGTGTCATGTCGTGGTAGTGGAGCGCTCGACGGACCTAGCCAACAGAGCCGAAAAGGAAACCTTCCTGAACCGCGACAACCGGAAACGATCGCACTGAGACCCAGGCTGCCTTCAGGTTTGCGTCGATGGCCACCTGCAAACTCGGCAGCGGGGAAAGTTGCGATGAGCAAGGGAATCTCGTGTCGAGGCCTGCAGCTGCAGCGTCTCGTCAACGTTTTGATTCGTGGCCTTGAGCAGTCGTAGGAGATGCTTGTGGGCCCACTGCAGCTCCTGCATGGACGAAGTGGTTGAGCTCAAGAGCTGGCTCTGTGCCATGGGCACAGACCGATGCCCCTAAGATCCCCCGAAATCCCAGGACGCCCTCTGCCCAGAGATCTCCTGCCGATTCGCACGGTTCACAAAAGTCATCGCGTAGCCGATATGCCCCGCGCGTCCGGTCCGCCCTACCTGCCGCTGTCTGGCTTCATCTGGCAGTGGCTTCAGGTGCACATGCTGATAGCAATCTATCTTGTCCGACCCTACGGACGTAGTCTGCTGGCGTCAGCGGCATGTCGAAGTTTATGACGAACCTCACCTGGCAGCAAATGAGTGGTGACACGCTGTCCTTGTGGCTGTGACTCATGTTGTCAGGCTGCCGGTTGTCGTGCCGGCGGCCTGAGGAATATCAAGGCCGCGTGCCAGCGCGTCGGTTGCCACGACGCAGGGCCTAGCATTAAGACGAGCACGCGGACAAGACTGAGATCGACATTCATGCATTCAACGATCAGGACAGTGAGGTCTCAGTATCCGATGCTTGGATCTGGCTCGCGATGTGCGGGGATCAACTGGCTTCATCCGCAGGCTTCATCGATCGGCTGGACAAGCCAGCATACCGTCTACGACCGTGACTAGGGGCCTTCGCAGGAACTGCAACCTTGAAAACAAAAGGTGGAGCGAACACGGTCTCAAAATCTCATGTTCTAAACCTCAGCTCCTGACAGCGGTCCGTCGCGGAACTGTTGAATGGTCTGGGCAGCAGCGCACTGTT